AGTGCAATCATCTGAAAATCCAAAAGTCATTAAAGTAAGGACAAGCAAAAATTTTGCATGTCGCAGAATATAAAATTATATTACTAAATATAATCCAAACAAAATCCACTGAGATGTGCATGGGATATTTTTTAATAGTTCGAGATTGCTATTTTTCTTGATGAAATTACTACGTAGTAATTCAAAATGCTTTGTGCATGCATTAACACGACTATCTCAAGATTAAAGGTCTGCAGTGGGGTACCAAATATAATTTAATTCTTTCTGCATCATGTCTGATGTTGAATCCGTCTTTGTTCAATGTGTTAGGTTTGGCCATTTGACATATTCATTTTCTCCCCTTCTTTATTTGTGTATCCCCTTCTTTATTTGTGTATAGTGTGATGTTTTAAAAATGCGTGTCGTAATTGCTGAAACATAAGTTATATACTCCGACTTCTCAAAAGCTATCTGAGAATTAAAAAGAAATACGAGTAGTTACAAGACGATACTAGATGATGAAATTGGAAGATATAGTTTTTCCATTTTACCATAACGTTTTTTGAAATATTCCGGAGGCCTAGGCATGCAACCATTTTTGGAGTCACAAATCTGATCTTTAGAACAGTCACAAGTTCCCCGACATTCATCTCCAAAACCATTAGGAGGACATCTTGTGCAGTTCTTACCAAATGTGCCTGGTGGGCATTCTGTTTTTTTATCAATATAAACTGGATTATTGTGATAATTTTTATCACAATTTAAGGACAGATGATACAAACTAACTTTTGTAAAAAAAAAAAAAAATTCAAAATTTAAGTCATATTTAATAATTCTAATTTTGCTATAAAGAATAAAATTAAACTTGTTACTCATGTTACCAGTAGTAATTTTACAACCAGTAGCATAATGACACGTCTCATTAGCTGTACAGTTACATCTGTTCAAACAGAATCTTCCATAGCGGTTTGGGGGACATTTATATTGACAATCACTCCCAAATGTACCATTCCAACAATCTGAAAATTTCAAAATCATTTAAACTCATCTTATATTTTGATCTGGTTTGTAAAATTTACTCCCATACAAACTTGAAATATATTATAAGCAGTAATCAACACGTGTATAGTTCAGGATAATTGTTTTCTTAAGGATATCCGATCCTCAGCCAGGAAGGATTACTCCAAAAATTAACATTAATTTGAAATGCATCAAAATGAAGCTTGAAAATGAAATTTTTTCATGCAACAATTTTCATGTCTTTGGAAGTCTTAGAGAAGGTATTATAAAAGTTGACATTTGTACCCTATAAAAGGAGAAAAAATTAATACAGTTTTAGAGAAATAAGATTTTCTTGAATCCAGCCTTAGATACCAATGCTTATTAGCATGATATGAAATGAGAAGTGATTTATGGTGTCTTGCAATGATAGCAAAAGCCTTTTACACTATGTATTATAGAATACATGATGGAAAAAGAAGACAAAAAATACCAAATAAGTATAAAAATCATGACAGTTTCTCTAAATGCCTGGATACTTATCGTTTTTAGCCTTAAATATATTTGTTGATCAATTTGCAATTAGAAAATTCATTGCTGATATTTCAATTCGCTTTTTCTGAAAAAAAATATTGGAGATTTGACAATTTTCCCTATATAATATGATTAACTTTGATCTTTTACTTTAAAGAAATACTGTGGATAAAATTACATAATTTTGTGGATTCAGAGATACTTTTATGAGTATTTTTGATTACTTAACTGCTAATATTATAAACCTGAGGATCGGACTACCTTAATATCAATATTTTAATTGAATGTACACACATTACCCTGACAATTGTTCCCCTGTATCCTTTGGTTCGTACAGCATTTTGTTGTTGTGTTGCTATGAAATTAAAATACTTGAAATATTTTTCATGAATTGAATATATGAAAAAAAACGAACAGTATTTGAATTCAAAAGTCCAATAAACAATACAAAATTGGAACACAGCAAACCCAGGCCGAAAATTAGATATTGGATCAGGTGCCATGAAGGAGTAAGAATGAATATTTCTTTTTATTTTTAAGGTTTCTCGGTTATAAAAAATTAAAATAAAATCCTGACATAACTTGATATCACAAAAGTTACAGCATCTGTCCAATATATTACAATGCTCAGCTGTAACTCCTATGTCTTATTGTTCTTCGAAAGATTATCAATGTCTTTTTTCTAAATTCTGTGAGACCTCTAAGTGGAATTTGAATTTGCTTGTTTGTCCTTCTCGAAAAATAGTCACTCATATGGAGACGCCACCACTTGCCGGTGGAGAGCTGCAAATTTTGACCTATACTCAGCACTTATGGCCATTGAGCAGTGTAAGATCTTTTTCGTGCCAACACCTACTCACCCCTACTAATGTTATTGTGATTTAAATTCAAGACACGTGGTTTAGGTTTACCTATTCAAAGGTTATAGGGTAGAACCGTTTTTATAAATAAAATTGGCAGTAAACAGGAAATTGCTATAGTCTATTTTTTCTGAAAACATGTCCTGTGAAAAATGTGTTTCCAGACCTTTTTGAAAGACTTTCATGATTTTCAACAAAAATGGGGGGGGGGGGGAAATAAAAATTAATACATCTTATCACAGTTTACTGCAAAAATTAGAGCTCAATAGCGACCGATACGCAGATAAAGCAAAATGTGTAATTATCTTCTACACTGACAAACCTTTGTATGCCTTATATGGCTATTGCTATTAATGCGCACAGAGGATCTTACCAGGAGCAATTGACCAATTGTTGATTGAATACGTTTACGCCAAATACATGTTTACATGTTACTTCGAACACGTGGTTCAGGTCAATCTATGATCATGTCAATGGAGTGCAAAATAAAAAAAAAAGGTTCTTATGAACAAAATGCCAACATTATAGAAACTTTGAAAGATATCACGGGGCTCACGGACGTTTTTAATTTGTTGTTAACTAGAGAAAAATATCTTTTATAAAATGTATACGTAGTTAGCACCAGCACTTCAAGGGTAAGGAAAACGAGCAGCTTCTCGTATGCATTTAAATGGACAAAACATTTTTACATAACTATACTCGTGATCACGTGTGTTGGCCAGGGAATCTACTTGACAATTGTATTCACCGATAGTACGATAAAGGAATTGATCAAGCGTAAAATTGCTGTAGTATTCGTAGTAACCCATAATGCAATTCTCATTCAGCTGATTTGTCAGTTAAAGTCACATTGGTGCTTCATTTGCTAGTGTGATGCCAAAAAATATAGTCCCGGTTCCCATTCAAAATATTTGTCCAAAAAGAAATTTTAATTCATGACAGCAGAAAATTGTATCATAGAGAATACTTATAATTTAAACTTGAATGAATTCAAGAGAGATCTATTGAAGTACATTTCTACAGAATGATATTATAGGGTAGTGAAAACTAATACGCAACATAACTTTTCTGTTTACCATGTCTCCACGTGATAGTCACTTCCTAGCCATATTTCCGTGAATAATTTACACTATCTCGCTGTAGTCTCGCTAACTCTCGCCAGAGCCACTGTCAGAGCTACTCTGAAGTCATCGGGTTTTATAATTTGCAGATTACCGAAAAAGAAAAGGTTCCGGACACATTAGTAGGGGTGCTACTGCGATGCAGGACTTCAGTTTAAACGCTCACACCCACGTCTCCACGTCTCACAGTGGGACTCGAACCCGCGAAGTAAGGATAAACGCCTTACTTCACGAGTCTAGTGCAGACGCTCTAACCACTACACCACGCGGGCGACTAGTGAACATATTCGGAATCTCAGACACCTGACATCGTACTACGGACAGCGGACTGCAAACAATAGGCGACTTTCGGGGAGCGTATAGAAACACATTTTAAAGCATATGTATATACCGTACGTAGAATTTATTCTCGTTATACGTTTTTACACTGCTAGACTTGTCTTCAAGGAAAGGAGTGACACGATCATTTTGCGCCAAAGTCACGAGTCGATTCCAATCGAAACATCACTCGGCATTTTTCGTTCAATTAATATTTGAAAATGAATGTCTGTTTGCCTTTTCGAGAAATTGTGAGAAAAAATCTTTGCTTTTGGCTCAATGTTTCTGATGAAAAAAAAATGCAAGATAGAAATTATCAAAATTCTCACAGGTATGTGCTTTCTTTACAATTAAGGCTCGATTCTTTCACTCAAAAGAAAGCTGATTTTGGGACTGTTTCAAGGAAGCTGACATTGGGACTATTGTAGACTTTTAGGTTCGCTCTCCGAAGACGGCACAGAGCAGGCAAAAATTTTGGAACTGCATTGTTTTATTGATTGGGTCTTGTATTAATTATGAAACTCATTAAATTGCAAAGAAATAAAAAATAATGTCTTACCTTATTCCACTGGTGCAGTTATCTGAAAATTTGAAAATAATGCAGGTCGTATAATATGAATTTGAAACTTTTTATCTTTCACCGATAAATTTAAACCAAAATATCCTGCGGTGTATGTGGGATTTTATGCAATCCAAGACGTTAAAAAATATTTCATTTAGTTAAAGTCTCCTTTTTTCTTGTAGTCAATTGGAATACGCCCTTGTGTATGCATTTAACAAGATCACCTTAAGATTTTAATTGTGCTATAGGGTACATAAAATAGGGGTTTTGCATTATGAGCTCATTTATTGTGATGAAGCGGTCTGTGATGAAAAGGATAACTTTAAACTTTGGCAATTTGAGATTGTTTATTTTCTTGCTGGAAATGCAATTTGATCAGACCATAAGTTTATCAGTGAATGATGGCAAACATTTTCTAATGCAAAGAAAACCAAGTGTATGTCAAGTGCTTTTGTTCCCCATATTGGAACTTAGTGCTTTTAAGTGTAGTATAAAATTGTGCGCCGTAACATTTGATATAAAGAGGGCTTAGTTTGCAAATAGCTCAAAACACAAAATGTTAAGTTTTTACTAAACTTTATTAAACTGTCAGTATAAAGCAAGATAACAGACAGTAAGAATTCTATA